AAAGTTCTCTTATTAGTACGCGTTTTCTTTTTAAGACGTCGGCTGGCAGTTATTTCTCCACCATTCATTGCTTTCAGTTGGGCCATTAAGAATATATCTTGTTCGGATCTAGAGAGTGCTTGAAACGCCTCACGTAATCCGGCAAACTCTTCTCTCGGAATCTTTTTTGAACAACCATAATTGCAGCCTATCTCTAGAAAACGGATTGCTTTTTCATATTCGTTTGAACCATTATAATTATAATTTTCCATATACGGGTAACCCTATATATATATAATTTTATGCTTCAGCAGTTTGTTTTATTGATTTCTTCATTTGTCATTTTTATTATTAGTGACAAGGTCTTTTTACAAACTGAAAAGAAATTGGCAACTATTATATTTAAAAACTTGATCAAGCAATTAGCCTTCTCTTATTTAATAAGTTTCTCATTTATATAATGCAGTAAATGCAAGAACATTGTGGAATGCATCCATTATATTATTTCAGACTAAATGGTTCATGTCATATCTGCAAATGCATTCCTTCAAGGCATCATACTCTAAATTTTCACAGAAAACTTGCATCTTCCCCCAATGCTTATCTGAAAACACATTCTCCCAAAATTCAAGAACACTTGAGTGTTCACTGAGATCTTTCACACTTGCAAGCATTTCTTCCTTGTGCAAGTGAAGATAGAGTGATTGGGTGAGCATAAAGAGATCATCTTGGGGTTGAATAAGTAGAGCCTTTGATTTCATTAATCGGAATGAGAGAAGGGGCAAATTTGGACCGCAGCCATTCCACAGCTGAATTTAAGAATTATGAGTTTATAAAATCATGTTGAATCATACTAATACTTTGTAAGCATTGATCAGACTCACCTCTCCTATGATTGAACCACACCCAAAGTCAACTAACACAGCCTGGTTATCTTTATCAATGAGGATATTAGCTAGTCGTACATCTCCATGTACTACACCAATTCTGTGGCATAGATGAAGCTTATCCACAATTTCTGCAAGGTATAATACAGGATTTAGACTTTCTTGGAGTGATCTAACTGCCCATGGTCATAGCAACATTGCACTCTCAGATAAATTGACAAGTTTTATTACACCAGAAATGTCATGCAATTTTTCTAATATTCTTATCTCATTATGTAATATATCAGGCTGATTTACAAGTTTGACAACTGCATCATTGACAACACTAAATACAGTAGAGGTGGATGTACATGCAATCATGTCACCTAAATCAACTGTCAGACCTAAAAGCCACAAATTAAGAATATAGTATATATAGATTACAAAATAATGCAGATACAGGAGCTCAGGCTAAATTCTTGCATTTCTGGACTGTCAGCATGCAAAATACCTGTCATTGGGTGGAATTGAATTTCACTAAGAAGTGCTTGTAGATAGCAAGTAGTATCATGGTTGTTCAAGTTCATTGGATCAGAATACCATACATTGTATGACAAGTCATCCACTTTCCTGGCAGCTCGAACAAACATTACATGATGACAATCTGTCAAGAATCCTGTAACTTGTTCCCAGTTCTTCTGATGTTTCAACATAATTATAGTGTATCATAGGAGTTGCCCTTGATGTGCCCTTGTGAAACAATCTCCTTGACATTTTATCTCGCCTATAGCCTCGACTGCATGCGAAGTTAAAGCATAACGTTTAGTATGAGTGGCGATATCAGGAGCTTTTCCGTCGAGGAACATTAACCGATGGCTGTCCACTGCTTTAACAGATCCATCATCATCTAACTGTGTCAGTATTTTGTTTGTAAACCAATTTTGATAGTCTTTTTCGGTATTGCCTGTTGGTGGTTGGTCAAACGTGAGTGCTTCTCTTGCAGGCGCAAACCACAATGTTTCACGACGTTCTGGTTCCATTGCATTCCACATGCTAGGGAGGCCTCGGGTTGTTGCGTCGAAAATACTTTCAGCACGAAGCCTTTTGTTTTTTTCCTGTTCGTATAATAATTCAAATTCCCTTCCTCTACGCTTTTCTATTTCAAGTTCTAGCTGTAACGCTAAACGAAATAATAATCAATGTAAAAATAGTGAGGGCATCACGAAACATTAATCAGACAATATGACAGACATGAGTACAATTCAAATTGAAATGCTTCATAAACGAAGAAACATATTACTACGTTTACTCTACTCTATGTCCCCAACGCCCGAGTCACAAAGCCGTTACCTGGCTGAGTAGTTGTCGCTGCCGTGAGGGCTCGCTGCAGCTCCTCCACCTGCTTCAAACGGGAATACTTCTAATGGTGCTATAATTCTTTGGATTTAATGTAAATTAGTTTCATATTTATATTTTTATATAGGAATAGTCCTATATTAATCCTGTTATGGTTTATATTCCTCACATTCTGGTACAATAAAGTGAAAATTAAATTAAGTTATGAATGAGCACCATTATTATTTTTCAAAATGTCATCAGTCACACTGGTCAATTTTACAGCCACATCATAATCAGCCTCTCATTTATGTCACGTAATAAAATGTTCACTTTGTCTGGTTTTGTTGCAGTCTGCCCCAAATAACTGTTTATGTTGAAGACAAATATTTAAAAATTTATCGTTATAATGTAACTCAAAGAAGTTAATTTTAACTATCTCTTGTACCCTTAAGTAAAAACATTTCCCACATTTCAAAATGTGTACATACTTTTTTCTGATTATTTGGTTCAGATTTCATTGAATAATAACTCAAAATGTAAAGTTTTTTTTTTTTTTTAAATTTAAGTCTGTAATTAGATATTTACCAAAATTCCAAATATGTTTATAATTAGACGTGCCTTGTTATTGTCTACAACTTTGCTTAATAGGTGTTTGTTTACCAACAAGTTGAATAAAAAGTTTTTATATAAGCAACTGGATGACATGCATTATTTTATTCAGGTGAAATTAAAACTCTCTGGACTAAATTTATCATGACTCCCAAGATTATTGGTGCTTGGAGGATGAGTGCAAGTTCAACAGTTCAGAAAGTAATCAAGCTTATAATGATCATGGACATGCTAAACCTTCTCCTCGAAAAGGAAAACCAAAAAGATGCTTTGGAAGCAGAGAGCAACATAGGTTTTAACAAATATCTGTGTTATTATTTATAAACACATAAAGCGCAAAACACACAACTTTATACACTTGAATTATATTCAACCTTTCTCCAACATAATAATAAGGATAAATTCGTAGAGAGGACTTCTAAGGTTGGACAATCAACGCCGTGAGGAATTTTCTCTGCCTAACATAAGGAGAATCAACCATATGCGTATTGGGAGTTCAAAGAATTATACATATACACACACACGCGGATGTATTGTTTATTATCACAACTGTCCGATACCCCCTTTTCTATGTAATAACAATTCTTATTGAATTAGCGACCATTCTCTTTCGCATTATTCAAATCTATTCAGTAAATTAATTAACCGAACAAATAGTAAAGAGAATAAATTATCTACTTTTAAATAAAAAGTTTTAAATATCGTTCCCAGCGATTCTGCCGTGCAAAATGCTAAATAAGTTTGTAATTTAAATTAAATTGCAGGCTTGGACATTCTCCTCTGCACAGGCCTACTGTGTCTCTCACTCACACTAGTCGCAACTGACTGTACCAACCCATCATCCTGATTATCTATTCTCTCAACAGCCTCATTAGAATCGTCACTATTTACACTTTCATCATCAACAGCCTCAATAGTATTAAAAACTGATCCACGTTCGCCGCTTGTAGTACTATTAACAAAACCAACCGTTCTTCTATGTTCATTTGTAGAACCTTTAGATTTACCCCCACCACTGCGATCGAACGGGTTGGAGAATATTGAATGCGAAGATTCATTGGTAGATGTTGGATTAATATCTTCTACCAAAAGTCCAGAATTCTCACATTCGTGAAGCTCACTTTCACTATGTTGATTTCCCTTCTCAATCAGCGCATCCCGATCATTACAGTCACTTCGATCATCGACATTACAATCGCTCTTTTTCCCCTCCTCATCGTAACAATATTCATATTCAAAATCATATCTGTCCTCATCTCCCTCGACCTCCTTGACCATTCTTCTAGCAAGAAGCCAAATGTATACCACCACTCCAATAGCAACGGCTATACCCGTAACTCCCATAGATATTTTTAATATATCGGCTGTAGACAACGGGGAAGCAGAAGTGTCACCTTCGCTCCCATCACCTTCATGTACCTCGCTCGAGAAATGAGCCGAGAATGAAGATAATGTCGACCCAATGTATACGTGAATTAGAAGTTTGGAAAGAGAGAGTGCAGTGGCGCATGCAAAAGTTTGGAGAGGAATATTGGTAGCAGAAAGAAGTGTGTTGAAAACGTTGTAAGGATAAGGCGCTAGACGTATTAGAAACAGGAGCTGTGTTTATACGTAGATGTGTTTTGAAATAGATATGAATATCGGATGGAAAACGAATTAGTAGATATTCTTATCCATTGTGGTCCTGTATCTATTGCTAATATCACAGTCAAACAAAAAGAACAAACCACCCAGCAAGTAATTACCATACCGTCACATAAATACATCACCCAACCTCCTTTTCCCCCGCTTACCTTAAACCCTTTTTTCTCGATTGCTCTGACAATACTTCTCATGTGCTTGTTCTTTCTCAACAACCTTCTAACCGGCGCTTTACCCCATTTTCTCGAAATCACAAACACGGTGACAGCCCCTGATAATGCAGCGGAATAGGAAATTATAAATCCACGAACAATACCAAATGCAAAGCCGGAAAGAGTTATCAAGGTTGAATAGCCGATGACGAGTGGGAAAGTTGTAATATAGATTAGAGCGTAGAGAATTATGGCTCCACTGTGTAGATAGAAAAGAAGAAAGAATGAGTATGAATCTTGCAGCGATATACAGATATTATAATATTACTGTTAGTTGATTATACTCGACAGTATGTCCATGTTTTCCCAATTCCTCTGTTACTTCTGCCATTCGCTCTCTTCCCCTTACTCACCCAATACCCAATCCCTCGACATATTTCGCCAATCTTTCAAGTGCCGATATGACTTCCTTCCGATAAACGACAACAAAACATAATGTACACAACGATATGACTGCCCATGTAATTATCGGTGCCCATGGCTGGAGGATGGTTAAAAAAGAACTCGACTTTCGGTTTGGTTTTGGATCTGAATCAATATATATATTTTTTGATGTTGGTGAAAAAAAAATCAGCAAGATTTTCAAATCGTGCTCAAGGATATGGCAGAACAAGTTGGGTTGACTTACGGATTGATGCTTGGTTATGTACAGGCGAAGATAAGGATGATAGTACTGGTATCGGCAATGTGTTTGGGTTGTGTTTATACACTTGGTAGTCATCAGGAAAGGTTATTACAGATGCGGAAGAGGAGAGTGAGAATGCTTTACGATGTTTAATTTGTTTTATCGGGGCAGTAGATTCTTGTGATATGGGTGATGTCGGTGAGGATGAAGGTACAGGTACTGATACCACGGTTGATGATGATAGCTTCCCTAATGTAAATGTTGTTGCTGATTGACTCAAACTTCTCGAATGCGTCGAATTCGATTTATTTGACTGTTTATAAAGCGTCTGTACATGGTGAACTGGTAATGTAGGAGACTGCAGCCTATCAGGTAGGGACGACGATGCGCCCACTGTTTGTGAGTCGGTTTGTGTTGACATGGAGAGTGCGGTCGGGCGTGTTTTCAGTAGTTTAAACATGTCGATTGTCGGTTTCAAACGAGTTGGTAGTGAATAAAGGAAAGGAAAGTTGTATAGGGCAAATGTATGTAGGAGGGTGAGAAGGAGATGGCCGGGAGTTTGCTGTTTGTTTATAATTAATACATTAAGATATAATTAAGTATGTTACCCGAGGGAAAAATAAAACTCTAATGACATATCTCGGTTAAAGACCGATCGATTTTACTCTTTGTATCCGCCTGCAGAAAATGAGTATCACAAAAGTATAGTTTGCCGTTTATGTTACTCTACAGTACATTATCCAATCGTGAAAATTGTAATTACAAAAAAGGTTGCACATGTATTTGCAGAGCCGATGTATAACGCGACGGCTATATTTATATTGTGAATAATAAATTCAGTATTTGTTTTATTTATTTACTTTGTCTTCGAACCGCAGCTCAAAAACCAGTCAAAAAGATTATTATAAATAAATAATTTATTATTTATTTACGACTGTCGAGTCAACAATCGCGGGAGAATAATCGATCGTTAACCTTGAGATTTAGCTATTTTCAAACGGAGCTGTGGCTTCTCCTATTTTTAGTTAAATACAACGACAGTTAACTAGACTTTACTACTCCCTGACCTTGTGTTGATCGGTAGACGCTAAGGTTATTCGCCCTAGAGCTAATTCCGATGTATTAATTCGGAAGATTATAAGTTGAGGTATATTTGTATCAAACGTACGTCTCATCTCAATTGTAATGCTACCAGAATATCCACGGGACAGGAGACGGATATTCCTAATCAATATAGGAATTAGTGGTTCATCAATATCGAACAATTTACAAGAGAACGAATCATTAATAATGTATTTTAACAAACTACTCGTTTATTAGATATTAGAAAGAACGCTCAATTGAACATGAACATGATCGAACATTTAAGGGACATTATGTAAACGTGATGCGAACATGATGAATTCTAACGGAAAGTCGCGCTTCTTATATACAGTGATGTGCAAAAAGATCGACAGGTGTTAGCTGATTAGATTTACAAATAAATATGCAAATGAAAGCCTGACAATCGCTTCATACTTTAACAAAAAAATTTTTTATTGAATATCAAAATGACCTCATAAAAGCAAGAAACACAACGACAGGCCATATTACATTTCTGGAAGCAAGGAAGTACGAAATGCTATTGAAATACAAAGTTTGACAAAGATTCCAATTGGTACTGTCTGCTGAAACCTTAAAAAAACTAAGATACTGGAGATGTAAAGCATAAAGGTGGTCCAATACCAAAGGACCGAGGTAAAATATTTGCCTGGGGTGGGTTTGTATAAAGGGTACTACCAGTCTTTTTTGTTTTCGGCGCATAATGGATGCAAAATTTTATACAGAAATATTGGAAACGCACCTCCCGGAAGTGCGCAATATGTTACGAGGTAATTGGCGGCTGCAACAAGATAATGACCCTAAGCATACTAGTCGTATTGCTAAGGAATTCCTTGATAAGAATGTCCCAGAGGTTATGGATTGGCTTTCTAATAGTCCAGACCTAAATACCATTGAAAACCTTTGGGCAATTGTTAAAAGGAATGTGGAGTTGCGTAGGCCAAAAAATCTTAGCGAATTAGAGCGTTTTTTTTTTTTTGGGGGGGGGGGGAGTAAGGAAATATTCCAAATAGTCTTATAGTTAATTTTGTAAATTCAATGCCTCAGTGCTGTAGAGAGGTTATTGAGAAAAATGGTGAACGAATATCATATTAAAACTTTTGTAATAAATCTACTACTTATCGGCTTTAAAATTATGCACTTTAATCGATACAATACTTGTAAAACTAACATGATTTTAAGAAAGTTTTTTTTTTTTTTTGCACACCACTGTATATAATCGAGATGGTTTATACAACTTGGTAGAGCCGTTTATTAGTGTGTCCGGTCAAATAATTAATATTTCGACGATGAAAGAAAAAAAGTAAAATTTCGATTTCAAGGGAACCCTTTATTTGATTATTAATGTTCTGTGGATTAGGCACTATTATTATAACAATAATATGAACAACATATACACCATTAAACAACATGATTTTTCGACGATGGAATAAGATACCTTTAGCGACACGGAAACCCCTAAAAATATCTAAATAAGCGCAAACTCTATGATCATGGGGTTTTGCTTCACTGCGGAAGAAGATTTTACCATGTGACTCACTTACTTGCCGTATAGATTTTCTTTCGACAAGGTTCCAAACAGAACTCTTGCAACAAGAAGCAATAAAGCATAAGGCGTAAAAAAAGGTAAAATTTTTATGCAAGAAAAGCATTGTATAACAAAAATATTAATTGACTAGCTCTAAATAGTTTTAACAAAAAAAGTTGCAAATAGGGTAGCATTTGTTATTGTAAATAGTTTACTTAGTGATGGAAGATTAATTTTCTTAGATATTTGACATATGGCCTACAGTTTTTTGCCAAATTATACTTCATTTACTTAACAATTTTTAAAGTTTTGAAACATAATACTTTCAAAATAAATTTTTGCGACCGTTTGTATTTACTGGGAAAAATAATGCAATTTTGCTAACCGCCATTATTTCTTTCAGCTACACTGCCTGTCAAATATTCCAATCGTATAAACGTTTGGATGGTTATGGAAAAGTGGAACAAATGGTTGAAGTGGTTGGACAATAACGTATCTTAAAATCCTTTCTGCTAGATGATAATTGCCCTGCACACCAAAAATCCACACGCAAGAATATATACTCGTATTTCGCCAAATACCACTCAAATCTTGCGGCGATAGTACTATACTACGTATAGTTAAGAAGGGCAGTTACTTCAATTCGTCGATTGAAAACGGTTTTGAATTTTCTCAGTACTCTTTGATCGTAGTCTTTTATTTAATATGAAAGTTTAATATTTAATATTTAATTATGGACTATTAACCGTTCTTTAAAATTGAACGCCGCCTCGACCTTTAAACGATGGGATTTGTACGCTTCTCATATTCTATTGATTTTAGCTAACATTCTGTCCGATTACAAACAATTCGGATGAGCATATTATTCATGCAAAAATTGATGCGTCTCCAATCCTAAACGTAACAACGACTGTAAAAAAGTTACTGTATATCATGATTTTCAGGTTATTATTATACTCAACCTTGAGCATAAAGGCACAAGCTATGATAGATTTATATTCCTGTTACAACAAAGCCTGTTACTATGTTATTATTATGTAAAATAGCTCTTCCACCCCAAATAATTTGCATTATTAAGTTGGCACACTTAAGAGGTTTAAGCATCTGATAACACATTTAGAAAGAAATTAATGGTGGATTTGGATTTGGATTTGGATTTTTTTTGTGTTGTTGCTCCAATATAACCTATTCTATTGAGGTTTAAACTTAAATATTAAAGAAATATTTGATCTAAAGTTGTTACCAAACTGTTGCATCCACATCTTCTATCTCATTATAATTTCATTAAAAATTTAATAGTAAATTGATTACAGAGCCTTTGCCAAAGCTGTTGCTCCTGTATTTCCTATTCATTGTCCCAGATAAAAAGAATTTGATTCCAGAGCCCAGAGCCTTTGCCAAAGCTGCTATTCCTGTATCTCTTATTTTATTATGGTCTAGATTTAGAGATGTCAAACAAGAATTTGACTCTAAAGCCTTTGCCAAAGCTGCTGCTCCTGTATTTTCTATTTTATTGTAATCTAGATTTAGAGATATCAAACAAGAATTTGATGCCAAAACTGTTGGTCCTGTATCTCCTAGTTTATTATCCTTTAGATTTAGGGATGCTACATATGAATTTGATTCTGTAAAGCTGTCATTGCTTTTGTACTGGTATGTACAATCTCTTTATAAACTAAGTTAAGAGGTGTTGAAGAGAAGTTTGCCTCTAAATCCTTTGCTAAAATTGTTACATCCGTGTTTCCAAGTTGGCAATAATTCAGATCTAATGTATAAACTAATGATTGAGTAATTAATGACTTTAGTTGTCTATTTACTTCTTCACATGATTGATGATGGACAGTTCTTAGAGTCTTCATATTTATCCCAATATTTTGAATATAGATTGATGTAGTATTTAGAGGTTCCAGGAAAGGCTGAATCATAGAAACCTTTTAATCTGAATAAAATAATTTTATAATTTCAGTAGCCCCTTTACATGGGAGTTTTCCACTTGAAATCTCCCAAAGTATTACTATTACTCCAAGGCTAAATATATCTGATTTTTTTCCATGCTAATAAGAATCATTAAAAGATAATGGATCAATATATGCTGAATTTCCTTCACCATTTAATGTAGACATAATTGGTTTGAGAGCCTTGGACAATCCAAGATCAGTTAGTTTTGCAACACCTCAACAAGGATATTTGTTGAAGACTAATTATAATCTCAGAAATATAAAAGTCAATATTTAAAAGTTGATATATCAAATATATAATGGTTAGCTTATGAACAATGTCAATGCATTAACCTTTGGATGACCATATATTATACATTGTAAGTTAATTTTAGTTCAACATAATGCAGTAATTAAACCGTATAAGAAACAGTTGAGAACCTCTTTGGTAAACTTTTTTTAGCTTCTCAAACGCTTGCCTCCCACTTGTAAATGTTACTCTCCTATATCTTTCTTTACAACGAAAGCGTTATTTGACCTGATCGAAAAGTGGCATGACAGTGATTGATTAGTTACTACTTGCAATAGATTGGACGAGCCTTATGTCAGATTAAAAGATTAGATCATAATTTATTTGTCATATCAGTCATCACGTAGCCGGATAGTTTAAATAATGGATTGTTCAGAGACGGCATTTACTCGCCGCGTGAATTACTAACATATGCGATGATATTATTAGTATACCCTTTCACAAACGCATTTGTGTCTGCGATTTCATTACACACTGTGTTAGGGTGCAATCGTAATTACCAATTCGAAAGCTGCGAACATTCTGTGAATAGAAGACATCAATTACAGCAAATACAATGGCTGTTCATAATCCGACTCTCCGAATGCATAAATTATAATAATGCCACTATTCCCAGATACTGTATGACTATCTGTATTAATCTAACCTTAATAACGGGTATGACGTCAACTCTTAAACATTTACTGTCTATGTAATAGTAATAGTGTTTTAGTTGATTAGAAAATGGCTACTGTTCAGCTATGATGAAACGACAGCTAGCAGACATGTCCATGATAGTCAGCGCGTCTTGCTAATACTGTAAATATCGATAATTACTGTCAACAATATCAAGCAGTACATTCATGCCAATGACGCCCTATATATGCAATTAAGTAAATCAATTAGCAGAAAATAATTATCGGGTTGTTCTACTGTTCGGTAACGAGTCGGCTAATATTACTATCAAAAGTTTTGCCATCTATAACCCTTCGAAAAAGAGATCCCTATACCGATATAACGTCGTTATGAAAAGCCTCTGATAACATCGATATTGATAGTTACCACACGTATCAGGATAAACTGTATGTTGTTGATAATCATCGCCAGATCATTATATACATTTACAGTCAATTCTCCCCATGGCGAGTCCACTGAATCATAAGAAAGGCACCAGCGCAAATTATTTCAATAGTTTTTTGGCTTGTTCTTTAATCTTGGCAAGCTAGAAATCAAAGAAATTCAACTGGGCAAATGGTGTGTGACAGGACGAAATAATATACAGCATGGTCCATTGGGAATCCATCAAATACTGTACATTCTAATTCCTGATAGCGTAAGCACCGATGATTCACGAGGTGTCGAGTATGTGCAATTCGAATCTTGAAAGATATAAAAATGATTATCTTTATTCACACGAATGCATCAGTCAGGAAAATGAAAGCGCAAACTGGCATAGTTTTTCGGCGCAAGAGAATGAGCGCCCGAAAGGTATGGGGAAAAAAATTTTTTTCCAGTAAAAAATTTTCTTTTCAGCATCACGTGTATAATTGGTATTCATTAAGTAGTGCACAGTGGATCAGAGTAAACAAACTGATGTACGAAATTGAGCGACGGATACACAGATCAAAACAAATCTACGTTTAAAAAATTGAGCAACGGGGATACAAATTAACTGTATAACAGGGATGCGCCACATTGTTGAGAATGAATCAACATGCTATCATACTAAATAGCGAATTCCTTAAAAGTCCGCTGAAATAAAAGTTCCTCGCGATACTTAAAAGTCCGCTGAATTCAATCGGCATTCTATTCGTGCGTCATAGCAAGTGATCTGTCGTCTTATGGAAGTTGAAATAACATCTAGCTATGAGACAAGTAGTCAGAAGAGCAAGACTAGCTCGATGTGTTGTATCTATAAACATACACAAATGCAAACTTATACCTCTTACACCTTTACAGCAACCAAAGAATCTGTGGCGCTTACCATTTTGCGTTGTGGCGTCATGTTAACTTAACATTCCAAAAGGAGTGACCTAAATAAAACTCCGCATGGAAATAATTTCCTTATTTTCAATAGTACACAAGAGTACAAGATCCCTGACTCACGTGAAATGTGCATCAACTCTACGCGCGTTGCCCCAAATTTTGGATTTGTTCAACAATAACCATTAAAAAATCAAATGTCAGTGCCAACGTGGATGGGAGAGATAAGCTTTATGATTATTGAACACCCGGATTATACATAAATGAGGCAACTGTGATCATGACAGCAAGCTACTTAATTATAGTTAGTAAATCACCCCCCACTAGCACCCACGACTATTTAAATTAATGTAATCTGGTTTTTTTATTGTTTAACTCGATAAGAATAAAAAAAACGGTTACGACTTTCCTTTGTCTTCTTTAATCGTTCAGAATCATGCCACCCCCGCACGAGGAGGAAACGGAAAAGTATAGAAATATGCAAGGATCACAAGATAATGAGATCATAACGGATGATCAGAAACAACATCGTCACAAACGTTTACATCCTCCTCCTCCTCCTCCTCATCACCATCATCATCACCATCACCACATAAAGAAACTAGAAACGTATAGGGCAATATTGAAACATGCCTTGGCTGGTGGATTGCGTATGTTGCTACCCGAGATAATGATAACTACATATCCCATTACACAATCTTACTTTTTTGTATTAACGTATAGAATCATATATCTTGGGTCATTTGGCTCGTGGAGGCCTGAACTTCTTTTTACATCTTCTGGTGGTATTCCGCAAGAGGTAGCGTATAGGTCACCCCGTATGTTTATCCCGAATAAAGGAAGCAGCCAAGAAATCGGCCGCCTGCCCCACTACCCCACCCCCCACATTCTACAATAAACCCTCTCGCTTTTCGCATTACTTACATCAAATCATAAAATAACTTGCTCTTTATAGAAAATCGTCAGTTTTAGAGGCATTTCGTCATGGCTTTTTCGGAACAGATGCGTTTCGTTTTGGTGCCGTCTTTGGTGTTTTTTCGTTTCTGTGGAAGCTGATAAACAACAGCATGCGACTTGCCCGCGGTAAAAACGATCATTGGAATGGGCTTGTCGCAGGTAAATGAATGTTGTTTTGATACGCTTACATCCCTAATCTGTGGAGGTTCAAAGGATTCTTTCAAACTTGCTGTTTTATTTCTGTCACAAAGGATCGATTGCTGGGCTTGCCATCATTGCAGAGAAACGAGAGAGAAGAATAACACTCGCACAGCAAGTTTTTGTAAGGTCAATATTCGGTATTATCGTTATCAACCGAGGCCTTAACATGGCGTTCGTATCTCAATTGTCTTTTTCTTTCTATAGGGCATTACAAGGTGCTTATAATGCGGGCCATGCGCGCGAGTATTTCAACATTCCTCATGGAGACTCGTTGCTATTCATGGTAACCTGTGGTCAAGTTCTGTATGCTTACACGGTAAATTGAATAATTGTTGCGGCGACCGTCGTTTGTGCCGTTGTTTGCTGTTTACCATTATCATCATGCGCAAACCACAAACTTTTTTTTTAATTCTCTATTCCCAGATGCAGCCAGATACAATTCCGCAAGACTTTTTAAAGTTTATGATCCAAACAGCGCGTGTTCCCGCTAAAGCACTTCGATTCAATAGATTAAACGTTCGTGGACAACCATTAGATACGGCTGAACTATTGGATTATGCGGTAAAATATAAAGCAACTCCTAAAGCTTTGGACGTTATATCCAAACTGCCTGCTCATCCATTGGCTATACCATGGTTAGTTATTTTATACTTTATTCTCTGGTCAATATCAAAAGCACGGGCATTCACCGACATGTTTTTAATCTCGCAATCACAGTCCACTCGTTCATCCACGTTTCGATTCCTGCACATATACGGTTGTCGAACGGTTTTATAAAGTGTTTAAAACGATTTTACCCGTATATGCGGCTTTAAACACCGTTTCTATGCTAGTATTGGGACTTAAACTTTTTATCAAAAAGTAATGTCACTCTTATTATTCGATTTGATTTACTCAAAGTTTAGGTTGTCGATTCTAAAGTATCGCTTTTTTTTTCCATACAGTCCCAAACATACCGCCTACAAAGCCTCGTTCAACACTATACGTTCTTCAATATTCCTTACTCTGTTCGTCGCCGGTTACCAGACACAAGTGTGTCTTCACCGAAATATTGTCAAATCTGGATATAAGTGGCATTCCAAATATTTCTACTGGTGGTGGGGATTCATTACCAGTCTGTCTATCTTTGTTGAAGACAGAAGAAGACGCGTTGACTTGGCTTTATATGTATTACCAAAGGCTGCCGAGTCTTGGTATAAGATATTGTATAGTAAGAACTGGATTTTCGAATTAAACAAGTATGCAGACGTATGGTTTTTCTCAGCTGCTACGGGTGTTATAATGGTAAGTCAAGGTTTATGAAGTTGTTGGGAACAGTCTCATTCGGAAATGGATATTTGACTTTTCTTGTTATATTATTTTTTTAGGCCTTTTACCAGCAAGAACCCGAGGTTCTTAGCCACATAGTAAAATCTGTGCTACATAACTTTGTTGGAAAGAACTGATATCTGCGTAGTTTATAAGTTTATGAAATATAGAGGAAGAGGAAGAGAAAGCTCAAGAATTTGTCAGTAGTAAGGAAATGCGAACTGGTTAACCCATTTGCGATTAACACGGAAAAAGTTAAGAAAATCTAGAAATAAAATTTCTGTATATATCACAATTACGTGCATGTCGCAATTTTCTTAACTACACGTGAACACAAACATAAACGGGGGCTGATAATAACACCCTGGTAGACGTATAAAGGATTTGTTCTCCTTGCCACATTCACCAGGTAGAAATATCCCCGTATAAAAAATTTTTTTTTCAGAGTATCATGATTTTCATGGAATACCTGCAAATAACGCATGGTATTCTTCGATCCTTGGTATTAACTCGGCATCTTGCTTCCTATGCTGAATAAATAACAACAGCGTCAAAAAAAATCGCAGCATTTCTCGAGAGTAAGTTGCGAGAAACAAGATTATACCTTTCTGATGTTGAAATTTCAGAATTGATTAGACATTTCCTCTACGTTGACGCCACGAATAATCAAAACTGGACAAAAATCTGTATATATCATATTTAGTGGTGTCTCAAACAAACAAAAAAAAATTGGCAAAAAAAAAAAAAAAAACCAAAACAAACAAACAAAAATGGTTGATCGCTGCGATGAAAAAAAAAAGAGCCAACTAATTGCGTTCTGGTTCGTCGGTATATGTCACTATTAAGGATTGAGGAAGCGAGTTAGATATTCCTGTATGATACGAATAGAATTTCTTCTGTATTTGCTCAGATCAATTGAACAGTTGTTTATTCACATTGACTCACCATCACAAATATTGCGTGAAGTTTCGTCAACCCTGTCCATTATAATACAGGATTATCTAATGCCGGTTCCCAGAATGCCTATTAGACGTCGACGTAAAGACAAGTTAGTATCCCACAGTATACTATCAAATTTATTGTAATTTCATCAAACATGTATGCTCTGTCAATCAAGTAGCATTACAATAAGGATATGCACTCACAACCGGTAAATGCATAGCTAGTGTGATTGCTAGACGGATGTAATGACACGTGTGGTCAGAGCACAGGCATTTACAATACCGATTTTAATTTTCGATCATTTAAAACCGCGAGTTTGTGTACTGAATAGAAATTAAAACTTGCGGGGAACATTGATCGGTATCACATAAAAAAAAACGGAAATAATAGACAACTGCGAATCAAAAGAAGAAAAGCAAAGATTGTTCAATTTTTAAACAATCTCCTTCGCTCCTTTATCGTGAAATACTTACCAAGTCAGTGCATCCGCTGACCATCATCAGATACCTAGGATTAAATTTCACCACTTGAGATGGCTTGGTATGAGATTCTAATTGCTTCAGTGGACGTATGTCGATCGAAGCAAATGCAGGTGTAGGCGTCTGTATGTCCCATATGCTTATTACACCGTCCTGGGAACCTAAGATACAGGAGATATGAATCGTGCAAACAGAATTTGCGACACAAGCGGTCAGGGTCAAATGTAGAAATTCACATGGCCCAAAACTTTTAAATCACGCCAACACCATTCAATTAATCTCTCATTTTCCTCTTTCAACCTCTATACTGCTTCTTTTCCTCTCATTTCGTCTCATCACTCCCAAACTTACCTCCAATTACAAATCGGCCATCTGGCGTAAACCCAGCATCGTCTCCGCCTAACCCTTCTGCAACGGCTCCCAAGCCAACATGTCCAACCAATCGCCTTCGCAGCTCACCGCTAAAAGCGTCAATCACATAATGCTGGTCTCCTCCAGTAGTGATGAGAATATTCTTTCCATCGTTTGAGAACTTTAGAGATGTCCATGTTGGTGGCGCGATATTTCTTTGGTAGGCTATGGCTGAGAAAAACGGGTCTATTATTGCAAACGTTGAAAAGGGACCCTTCAGTTGTAATGACGAATAAAGGTAAGTAGTTCGTGTAAGTATGTTAAAAGTTATCAGGAATGTGTCTTTTGAGAGATGCTTGTAGAGTGAATAAACATTACCTTGTCAAAGTTTCGTAAATCGTACAAGCGTACTTTGTCAGCTATACCAAGCGCGAACACCAGTCCTTTATTATCATACCCAACGGAAGGGCGACCTTTTACCCCCAAACAGCCCTAGGATTAAGTAATATTTAATCAGATTGAGCTATTTAGTAATGCTTTTACGTTCTAACTTTCGTAATTATTATATATGCACTCGAGGCTAATATCTTGATGTTCTCTTCGTACCTGACAGTGATGCGATCTGACATCATACAATCGAATAGAATCGTCAACACTTCCCGACAGGAATGTGTCATCTACTGGTGACATTTCAAGGGTAACCACCCTTATTGGTGAATTAAGAATATTGGTGAGTTTTTTCTTGTCATCAATGTATAGCGCGAAATCGCGTAAATATGACGGAAAAAGTTAAACATAGTGTAAAGTTTTTCCTTACTGTGACTTGTGTCCAATGAAATACGAAATAAACTTATTGTCGTGTACTGAGAGATATCTTATAATGTCTATATAAGACATGATTGTTAATAAGAATCAAGAAATGGAAATGACGAAAAACACTGGAATTTTTACCATTCTCCTTTGTCGACGCGTATAGGATAGCTTTGTTGCTATGAGTAAATCGTGTCAAGTGGACCCCATATTTCTTACTGTATAATAACTTCTTGTGACTGTAATTGCGATTAACATTTATTAATTATGCAATAATCTAAGCAAGACTGCAGTCAAGTCAATCGAATCCATTCGTTGTTTAAACTCTTCTCGATCGCTCTCGGTTTTCTTCCATTGCTCATATAATCATCTCCGCCCTCCCCATTCCTTCTTTTCCATACTCACTTTCCCGCCTTACAGTCATAAATGTTAATACATTCGTCCGCAGAGGCTGTTACACAATACACGCCAGAATCGTCGAAATCAAGAGCTGTCAGTGGCTTGGAGTTGTGCTGGAACAGTTTAGCCACTTTTAGTTGTTGCATACGTTGTGCAGTTGTTGCGTATTTGAGTTCAGACATGTTTTTTAAATGACTATCGCTATGTCGAAAAGGGGGGAGAATGTAAAAGTTGAAGAATGTAAGGGATTGGCATCACGTGATGTAAATTTTTGTTGATGATTGGGAAAATTACCGAGTTCTAATAAAAATTTGGCGCGTGACGCGCTTCCCATGCAGATCTTGATTGCACTTTAACAATCACATCATTAATAGACCCATGGACGGCATATTACAAGAGAAAGCATCAGAGTCAGGGTGCTTACAAGAAAACTTGCCTAAAGAGGAAGGAATAACTATGAATGGTGGGGAGGAAAGTAAGCAAAAATCTCATTGTATAATTGAAAGCGGAAAAGATCAATGTAGGGATCCCATCGAATGCCAATAGTTTAGTGACCCAAGCCATCACGAATGGGTTATATATTAATACTGTAATATTGAATGTAATCTGACGTCATGCTCAAGACATTTTAATTGATCAGTACGATTACTTCTTCCAATCATTGTTACTATAGTTTCCCCACCTCCAAAAAACCCCGCCAACTGCTCCATTGCGACCGATTCATTCGCAGAATTAGTTACACAGATGCGGAAAGAGATAGAGCAAAGAATTGAAAATGAGCGCAAAAGTCGTGCCATTCTCTTTGATAAACTTCTTCAACCGATCGTGGAAGAATACATGGAACAGATGAGAAGGGAGTCAGTATTAGAAGAAAATAGCAATCCAACTTTGTAGTCAAGGAGTGTCGTAGGAAGTGAAGGGTAAATGGGGGGGCGAGGATTAATGGGTTTGGCGAATTTTTGGTTATTAACTGGCGTCTTGTAAATATTTCACCAATGTTATCAGTGTTGTTGTTGTTAAGCTAGTTTTTGAATATTTGTTCTAGCCAAATCAAGCATGTTCTTGTGTTTATTACTATGTATATCACGATGTTGTTTAAAGATCAGATCACTAAATCGTATAGCACAAACTATTAATATACCATTTTAATCGCAACGATTCAAAAGCATAGACATCGATAGACATTTAATTATTACGTACATGCCATATGATTAATGCGTTTATTGTTTTGACAGTCATTTGTCAAACATTCAATCAATTATCCGCCATAGTCGGCATTAAATAACTCAGTATCCACTCAGACCAGCCCTGCATGACAGAAATGCATCTGAGAGAATTTACATATAAGTCGCCTACGTTCCCATCCTTTCCCATTTTTTATTTACGTTACTTGACAACTCCTCATCAACCCACAAAAATATCATAAACGCGTCTAATCTCAAATACCCCTTTCAATTCAACCACCCTTATTTTAATCGAAACAACTAACAACACTCGCTAATAACTCGGTCTTGTCGTCTTCCTGGCTATATCTACATTTCAATACCAAATCAACCGCATCCCACGCCGCCCCCTCCCAAAGCGTATTCTCTACCCTTCGTTAACATGTCCGACAATAGTCAACCAGCCGTCCCAACCACCTCTCCTACTACCGGAAGAATCACAAAAATTCTACGCGACATTTACGCGACCGGACGCGCGTCTGTTACAATTGCCTTCAGACCGGACTTTGAGATCACCCTGGGAGATAAATACGATGAGAAAGAAGATGGGGATGGAATCGAAGAGTCCGAGGGGAGTTCTATTGATCAGGACAAGAGCAATGAATTAAAGAAAGCTTTGGAAATGTTGGCACATGAATGTGAACATGAGAGTGGTGAGTCTGGTAAAAAAACCAACATGAACGAAAGCGAAGAGGGAATCGATAGAATAAATGAACCGTACAGAAGTATTGATAGAGAAAGTGATGGTGCGGAAAGTGATAAAGGAAGCGTTAGAGAAGACGATGATGCTTCGGTCGAAACGATTATTGAAGATAACTATAAGGGAAACAACGAAGCAAGTTACGAAAGCGACCAAGATGACGACGACGACGATGAAGGCATCGTCTTCATCATGGAACCCACGGTTAAAGGACAAAGCATTGGCCCCGTACCTGTTAGTTCGTCCAACACTCACGAATTCCCCGATGGCCACACGAAAGAACATATCACTCCTTCCACTTGCATCGATTACACATCACCTATTAAAGAAGATCCTTTAATCACCAACATGCCCCACTTGCCCCACTGCACGAGCGCCGACCTCAATACCATCGAACAGACGCAGGGAGAGTCCTCACAACCTAACACTGACTCTGAAACTGCGGACAATATTGATGCTATTCTCGCCGCTTTAACTGACCTTAGCTTGTCAATAATTAATGCGCCCACCCTTGCTACTGTTGGGCACGCTGCTGTAGAAGAACAAACCATCGCCACTCACGCAGAACAGGTACCTGAGACCAACGTCGACGGTAAATGTATCATTGAAGAAAGTAGAACAAACGAGAAAAGTATGATGATAGCTAATACTAAGGCAACAAAACACAGGGAAAGTGTGCCATCTCAAGGTTTGGAATCTGCGTGTGAGCAGCCCAATACAATAAATTCTGGACATGTTCTCGATGTGTTTGGGCGACCCAATATAATGGATATTATTGCGACAGGTCATACGCTAGGACCACAATATCAGCAGCCGATGATGGTTATTACCACCGAAGATGACACTGCGACTACTGACACCGAGAAAGAAAGTATTGAAGGAACAAAACTAATGGTTGAACCTACCGACGTTACTGAAATAAGTTCCATCAATTCGGCATCATTATCTTTGGAGAAATTACCAAGTAAATCAGCCGCAAGTTCACCTTCAAAGAAAGTAACGAAAGCCAGTTCTGCCCCTAGTATCCAAACATTAGACGAATGGACCTTGGCAGCCAGTAGAGAGGGTATAACCGAGAGTCAAATGGATGGAAATGAGACGACTACGCCATCAGACGGATTAAACACTCTCGATGTCAAACCAACCCCAGAATACATACCCACAACGCTTGCGGAAAGCTCCATTCCTCAAACCGCTCAACAACAAGAACAAGACTCCAACCCCAAATCCCGCAGATCCGTTCCCAGGTTTTCCGCGACAACAACCCCATCTCTATCCTTCTTGACGCCGACCCAAAAATCCGTAATTGCTCTTCTTCTCGCAGATACCCTGCAATCACGTGCAATCCGGCCTTACTTTGATCTCGACTGCCTTACCGACCCGGAATACGTGAAGCTCTCACTGGGACATGAGTTCCGTCGCATGCGCGATCGCCACAGATCACGTCGTCAGCGTTTACGCTCTGCATTCCGATTCGGCGGCATCGCTGTTTACCTTCGTCGCTATCGCGATTTGCTTGCTCCAAGTGAGCAGCGACAATTGCTAAAGACGAGTTGGAAAGAATTGAAGGTACAACGAAGGTTTGGTATGAGAGTATTTGAGTTGTTCGAGGTGTTTGGAGAACAGGCCTTTGGAAAAGTCAGAGGGAATAGTATTGATTTTCTTGGCGATTTGACGCAGGGGCAGTATAGAGAGCTGAGATTTTATGTTAGAGGAGTCGGGAGGGGATGGTTTAAGACTGGCGGCGGTGGAGATAACGAAGAAAACGCGAGTGAGTGAGTGAGTAGTGCAGGTTGAGATAGAAGGAGAGAAGGAATGAGCCAGAGACAAACGAGTGATTAATAGAATATACCATGAGAGAGAATTAATTCAATTAGTTTGATGTTATTACTACCTGGCTAGATTCCTTTGTTGACTTGCTTCTTACAACTAGTCCGCGTTAGTCAATGGATTTGATGTAAGGGATACATTAATTAAATAAACAACGCGATCCACGTAAATGCTTTTATTACACGTATATGTGTTTCTCATACAGCAATCAACTTACTCTTTGCAATCTAACTTTTTCACGTACTCGGTCTTCCACTCTCTACTCTTTCTCCATTAATCCTCTTTGCTTCCTTCTTCTTTGGATTCAATTTCCCTCACTTTCTTCCCACTCTCTTTCTTTTTCTTTCTCTCTTCCTCAAGCACTTCTGGTATCCATTCCATAATCTCGCTTTCCTCAGCAACTATCCTCTTTACCTTTTCCCCCTGTTCCACCATCAGAGTCTCGATATTTGTTTTTGATTCGCGGAACCAGCCAAGGTTGTCGGCAATTAGATGACGGTTTTCGCACGAGGCGCATTGGATTATGACGACACCGTGATCATACGCTTGTTTAGACATGGTTTTTACTTGTCGATGGGAACATACTTTGCATGTAAAGGAGATTAAAAGGCGCGATGATGACGGTGGTGGTGATGATGATGTAGGCGAATTGGGTGAAGAGGGAGAAGAAGGCAAAGAAGAAAATTTTGAAAAAGAGGAATGAAAGGCACGACAAGAGCGGTATATCGGGAGATTGGAATGACTAGGATGTGTGTGTCTACGGAGCTATAATTGGTAAGTAGAAACGTTAGCCTCAATGTCTACGAATAAAGGCAAGACGTTGAATTACTTTTATACTCAGTCGTACATTTGAAATAAGCCCTATATTTCCTGCTAGACGAGTCGTATTTAAGGATACAAGATGAGTTCTAGAACGCAAAAGACATTTTCCTAGTTCGTACAATCTAAAAGCGTATTCTGTCTCCTTTCGCGTCATATTAATAAATATGTTGAAGATTTTTATCGCGAACGTTACTCTGAAATGTCCTCGGTGATCGTATTTTATGTGTAACGGTAACAAATTGATTGACTGTCTACGTGTTAACTGAGAAAAAGGCTCACTTAGTTACTGTTTATAATAATAAGTAAACTGTTTGAATTAAATATACAAGTATTACATAGTCAAACTCGATAAGAATGGTTTAAGCTACAGTATTTTATCGAGGATTATATGGTATACTGCGTAATTGGCCGGAGTTTTTTACTACCAGATAATGAATTAGACATATTCTAATAGAAGTGGTATTCATGGTTTTCGAATCAAGAATTAAGATTTTGGTAACTTATTCTTTAAATGGCAAATTATTTAATTTAAAGAGATAAATCTTTTACTAATCGAGGTATTTGACTTGTGGAGAGAATTCTCTTTATCTTATTCATCTTACAGCGTGATTTTATCTTAAAGTGACTTTATTTTATCGAGTTTGACTATGTAATAACGTTTATTTATTTATATATCATGAAACATGGACATTCGTATACATCGATAAATGTTTATATGATATTACTATACAAGTAAGTGAAGAAGGATCAATGACAAAAGCCAGCGTATTGGTAGGCCTTTTCGTTTTCTAGAGCAAGTATATTTGGTACACACCACAACCATGGATAAAACCAAAGTATGTGTCTTGAAGGTTGTTTTGTTTTGTCCTTCACCAGCAACAATTAACAGATTGTAATTTTCTGAAGGTTTGTTACTGGTTGACACCTTGCACGTTGGCAACTGTTGGAACGCTCTGCAGACATTTCGTACCATAGGAAGGCCTGCCTGCTATTCCTCCCAACTCCGGCACCAGGCTTTATAACAATCACCCAAGCGACTGGGCGACTGTAGTATAAAATGCCGAGTTGAAATTTGCTTCCTGCCTTTGCAGCTTGTTGGTATAAGCGGAATGCAATGGACTGGTTGATTTCGCCGTTTTCGTAGAAAGTCCCAAGTCGTGCATAACGGGAGGTATGTAGAGATGACGATTGAACTTGTGACGATGCGGTGTAGGACTCGGGCAAATGTTTCTTTACTGCCCGCACAGAGGTTATCCTCTTCTCCATTTCGATATTCCTGTCCTTTAATATAGGGAGGGAAAGGTGGTGGTCGGGGATGTTTACAAAAATAGATTGGGATTGTTATTGTGTATAGAGGGGTTGGTGAGAAATCTTTGAGAGCAAGTCTTGACTTTGTGTGACGGCGTGTAAAATGTTGGGGTAATTATAATTATAATGTAATACAGAAAACGCCGATTGTAAATCTTTGACCAATCAACAGTGATCGTGAGTGCGATAGAGAAGAGAGGTAGAAGATGCTTTGACAGAGGGTGGGAGGATGATTAATAGGAAGGATACCAATCTTATTAATAATGTTATTTGTTCATGATCATATTTATTACAGAAACCAGAATCCAGATTTCATCAGTCGAAATACCTCCCAAGCAGTTTATATCAACAAGCATGTCAAGACGTCAAGGCGCCGCCAAATACGGCACATCGCAAAACGCATCACAACATAAACGGAGTCTTCTCGAGCCACAACGGCCAAGACGGGGAATTATATAAACTGTGTATAGTAATAGTGATTTGTAAAGAAAGAACAGCGATAATAGCCCGTGGGGTTTTACAAAGTATTTGTGTAACGGAGACTGAATAAATCATCTTACAGTATGTAATTTCCAGTAACTGATGCTGTTGTTATTATTATGGCTCACTAAGAATATTTAATCTATTTTCTTTGCAGGAAGAGCTTCTTTTGTTAAAAGCATGCGAAGGAATGAGAAAAAATAATATTCAAAAGATCATATACAGACGAATAATATTATCACTCGTAGGTAGAATAGGTAACAGTAACCTGACTAAACTTCCCGCGAAAAACGATGTGGCTGTCCTCACCTTTTTCCAAGATATTGGATAGTAAAGCATATATCGGTTTTAGGAGACTGTTGCTTATGATTAGCCAATAAATGATTAGTGATTTGTAATATTGGTTTATCGAGGCTCGATCTATTAATAGATTGACCCTATATTAATATATAGTTAAAAGCTAATAGTAATAAAACTTGTTAGTAAGAACATTTTACTCTTTGTGTTACTTATTTGTTATAATATTTAGTACAATATAAATACAACCTCCATGGGGAAGTCATTCTACACTAAACGCGTTTAAATAATAATCGTAAGCGTTTTACACGATAAATGTATTCCGTAGACACTTTTGTTTCACCTCTGATTACTCGTGTAATTACGTTAAAACTAGCTCTAGCCTGCACAGGTAGCTTGGAAATAAAGTCAAGTCGTAACATTTTATCTACGTCATGTTATACCCAATCCCACAATATGCTCTATCGCTATTGCTATAGAATGACTCGTGTAATAACCACCACGTGACTTCCTACAACATTTTTAATACAGTAAGGATATATACTCGAACTCAATGAGTAGTCCTATACTTTGGTCATTTTATTACTGTTAGTTCCTCTCTTATTACTATCCCTTTTTTCCCTTGAAAGTTGGTTATTCTTTGGTAAATACTCTTTAATGCGCTTGACTTATTGTTGATTAAGGCGAAAACGAGCTCTTTTTGTAATAAGCTCACATCAGAACTTGGGTTGATTTGTCTGTCAAACCGATACGAATAAAAGGGTTTAAAACATGAATGTCGTTTAGTTATTTGACATTTTCGCGGGGTAGGACAAATCTGTGGTGGTAACACCTATGATACAGACCCCTGAAAATACCCTGTTCACTTTTGCAGTTTTGCGATTATTATTATACGTCATAGTAATAGTAAACGCATATTAGTAACAAATACAATACTTTTCGTTTGCAGCCTTTTCGAACATCGACGTAGATAAATCACAATGGGCAAGAGAAAATCAAAAAGAAAACCTGCTCCAAAGATGAAGCTTGTCTTAGATACGCAGTTTGATTGTATCTACTGTAGTCATAAACGAAGCATCGAGATTAAAATGTGAGTTGGTCAACTTTGCAATGCATTGAATCATTAACGATTTCTGCAGAGTTCACAAAAGAAGAAACGCCACTCCTAGTTTTAATAACAGTAACGCTGTGTTTTAGTTCAAGTGGGATTTGTTAATAATGTTGTTGAAAAACTTAATCATGTTTATTCTGAAGGGATAAACAAACCAGAGTAGGAAATCTTGTATGTAGAGTGTGTGGAGTACAATTCCAAGCACCCATTAACTGTGAGTGTCATTACAGAAGAATTTACTAAAAATTCGGAAATAACGTTAATCCCCCCGTGTTATTATCTTATCAATCTCCTTGTCACCCTTTCTTTCTTTCTTTATCTAACAACATCTCCATAAAGCGTTAAGCGACCCAATAGATGTGTACTCGGAATGGATCGACGCAGCTGAATCAAAACCCGTACCTTCTGTTTCTCCCTCACGCCGTCGAGTCCTCAGACCCTCCGCGCCAGGTGAAAATGCACGAGTTCAGTTTGACGAAGAAGATGATTTTGATGACGAGGAATATGATAGAGATCTTGGATCAGCACCCGGCGGGAGGGTTATAAGCAGAATGAGGGATAGAGAGGAAGTGGGTGAAGAAGAAGAGGATGATGTAGGTCCTTTGTTTGGAGAGTGAAAGGAGAGAAGACGGTGCGTAAGGCATGATGAGAAGTGTTGTGGATCACAATATATTGTGGGAGTGTGGATAAAGCGGCCATAGAAATAATTTGTATAAATAAGGATCAAATAACGAGATGTGTAAATTGAGTTGCATAAAGTTGAATCATCGATATGTCCTGGTTACTTGCGATCTAATTGAAATGTCACATACAATCAACCAGGTTCAAGCAAGACAGATGAACTCGTTAGTGCTAAAATTAACAGACATACCAAAGAAAAAAGAAAAGAAAAAAACTGCCTTCATACACACTTGAAATGTTTGCTTAAAAAATCAACCGTGCGTTTTTTTTTAGACGCGACACATGTAACTATCGGTCACTGTTAAATATCTAACCCATCTTTGCGGAAGAAGAGAATTATTCTTCTCGTACACCTTTAACCGTTTTATTTGGAGCGAGGATGGTATGTAATTGGAGATATCAAATTCAAGACTAAAAAATAAAGAAAACAACATTTGTTTTGTTAATACTCGATTAAAGAAGGAACGGGGTTCCCAATAAAAAATGATTTACTATGAATTCACTCGCCACAAAAAGTTCCCAGACAACATGAACAGCATATCTTTCGTCTCCAACCCCATCATTTACCTAACTGGCCCGACTTCAAGCTTGTTAACTCCTGCAAAGTCTTTTATGCCTATGATCTTAATTCTCAAACTCATTTCCGATCCTCCAGTAATTTTTTCTATCACCCACTTTACTTTCTTTCCCTTGACATCGTATTCGGCCGTACCACCATCGGGGAGGTCGAAAGAGACCGAACGGGTGGAACGTGGTATGGGAGTCGTTACAGTGACGGTATTTGAAGATCGATCGCGTGGAATGTCACAGCGTATACGAACAACAACGTGCATTTGATTTGGGGGAGACAGGAGAGTGATTGATGGAAATATGCGGAATGGAAGGCGTACGTCGGTATTTAAGATATAACTAGTCGGATTGGGATCGGGTATCGGTTACAAAAAAAGAGAGAGATAGAGGTGGTCCGCACATGAGAACTTTGAACGACAAAATACACAGTTTGGGCAAAGCCGTCACTTACTTCATTGCAATGAATTCCCCTTCTTGCGGATATATGATTAATTTTCTAGCCGACTCGAATTCTAATCGTGTGTGTTGTAGATATAGATTTGTGATATTAACGACCGGTTAAACGTACGTTTGCATCAAAATCGGGCCCTTTATAATTACCTCTGAAATCAACAGAATCATGAAAGCGATAATTATTCAACAACAAACCATGTTGTGAGCTGTATTCATCTAGAACGGAATTCACAACAAAACTATAATCAAATTTTTTGCATTCTCCATTTCATCTCTCATACTCGAATATTCATTATTGTTTCTTACGTTCAATTTTCTCTCCCAAGGTCACCATAGACAGAGTCATATGAATCTCAGGACTTCCTCTTAGATAAGACTTGATCTTCATCTCGCCTGTTATTTCCGCATTACTTGTCATTCCCTAATTAAAAATCATACATACATTGTCAAACGATTTGCTCGCGACCTTTCCTCCTCAACAGGTTGCATCAGCTAGAAACTCACATACGTTTACGGCAAAACTAGCAGTCACTCTCTCGATAACATCGATATAAACCTGTCCAACGTTCGCGTTTGGATTCGATTCCTTCTTTGTAGACGATGATCGAGTAGAAATTATTGGACGCGTGCTTGAAAGTGTATTATTGCTGCCAAGAGTTCTCTCCAAGGCTGTGCCTAGAGTTGGTTGAATCTACAACAGGGAAAGGGGATGGATGTAAAGTAAAATAATTTTGATTGGTATGCAATTGATATGTAGAAAACAAATGAATGAATGTAAAAAGCGTATGCACTTTTGATATTGTCTGTATAATATTCTCCTGTCTTGTTTGAATAGGGTCTTCGAAAACCCGAGTTTTTAGTTCATCTGTCGATGTAGTCTGTAGATATCCATAATCCTGTCTCCAAAAAAACAAATGGGCATGTTCACTTAAATCAGCACTCAATTGGGCGCTCCCTTGTCCTTCCCAATGTCTCTATAATTTCCAAATTCTTACCAAAACTTCGTCCAATATCTCATATACCAATCCCGCATTCAATCTGACCATTTCCTCGCTCAATCCGCCACAGAAATCCTTGATTAACCCTCCGACTCTGGATAGAAACTCCAATACGACAAATGGAGATACATTCTTTCGTGTGGTTGCGACAAACAGAAGATTGGATAAGGTTAGCGTAATGTAAGAGATTTGGTCGCGGTTGATTATCGGAGGCAAAGAAGAAAGCGAGGAAGAAGGGGGATTGAGGAGTGAATGAAGAATTTCAGGCGTCGAACGGGGTATATCGTAACGGTCTGAGTTTAAATATGAAAAGGCAGATTGGATAGTAATGATAGGTAGGATAGAAAAAAGTAAAAAGTTAGAATGATGACGATTAAACGATATCGACTCAAAGGAAACGACTCGAGAAGAACATTGTTCGCTCGCTTACAATCTCTGAATATTAACGTATCGCCGCGTTGTGGAGAGAGTATAAAAAATTGAGAGATCATTATTGTATTAAATTGTGCAAATTCATCTCCTCGCACATATAGGCGTATGTTACACAAACACAATAATCAAATTAGTCGAGAGTGTATGCCCTTTGCAAGCTGAAAATCAATCGGCATTATCTGAGCCGAATTGCGCAAGATGCATTTATGGCTAGATATATGTGCTTAAGTACATGATACATTGCCGATAGAAGATAATGATAAAAGCGTTTAATAAATACAGTACTTGAAACGGTGGAATCTTTAAAGCGACTTACGTTATCGTGTTCACTCTGGGAGAGTTTTTGAAAATTAACTCTAGTAAATGTCTTGCTTACGCGCCCGCGTCAATTAAGGCGTAGCTAATTTCTGAAAGCAGATTTTTAATGCCCCTAATACTATAAGGTTCAATCACACTCGTATGTTGTGTTAAATTATCGAGAATAAAATTAGCCATTCTCTTGTCTACAGCTAGATACTACTCTAATGACACTTTAGTAACACGCACAAAAATTGTGATAACAATTAATTATAACCCCTAATCGAAAGTAGTGCTGTACATTGTTTGGAAAGGATACTTAAATTGGACGCGTCGTATACGAAAGACTTTTTCAACTCGCTGTATGTAGTTTATCGCTCTAGTAATAGTAGTATTTATTAATATCGATATTATTCTAATACCTAACTAACACGATACATGCACACGGCTATGTAATGGTCAGGGCCTTGTTATTTATAAATGAATAAAACTCAGATCCCATTAGAAGGAACTTTTTCGAACGTATTTCGGAATACTGCATTCAGAGAAACAAAGCTTTGCTTCTAATTAACAGAAAATTAGCTCGATATAATATTAGCATTACTTATAGTAACTTCAAAATAGACATGAAAACTAAAATAGAGAGCGTCCCAATGGCGGGACGAACTAAATGAATATGTTTGTCAATCTTTAATATGTGTCGTATGTTTAATGGGGAACACGCAATATAAAAAATGACCATCCCGAGGAGTCAAATATAAACATAGAGAGACTGTTACTAAATTATTGCGAATAGTCCAAAGTCTTATCGCGAAAAGTTACGTTCCGATCGGTGAAACCTGACAAAACGCCGAAGATGACAAATTTTCTCCTGAAAGAGGAACGGTAAATACTCACGAGGCGTGATCGCGCTGTTTCTAGATTACTATTTAACCTCGAGTATTACGTCGATTCTCTTTTGATGGGAAAAGTCTATCTGTCGAGAAAGTTTTCTGTTCTAAACGCGTTTGTGAAGAATTACCACGTAAATACTAATCCTCGCGTCAAAGTTTCCTATGTAATCGATGCAAGATCGATTTCGTTAATCGCCGATTCGGGAAGCGTTTTACACTTTAACCAGCGACTGAGATAAACAAACAGGGAAAATAACGAAACAATTTAATATTTATAACTCTTGATTCATTATTATTAGAATTCGAAATAAATAATGATGAAGATGATCGTGTTTCTAGTCTGCAATGATGTTCACCGAGGAAAACTACGACCGCTTATTATTATTATACCTAATTAAACTGCTAATAAATTTCGATATACGGGGAAATATCTGCTGCGTAATTAGATATGCGGGAAGGCAGTTTATGCACTGAATGTTCGTTTCTATAAGGGCCGACTGTCTCTGTTCACGTGTCTAGACAATAACAAGCTATTGTTCTTCTGCTCTACAGTCGGTAAATGAGGCATTGTAATAAACAATAAAGTTCTATGTTATGTAATAAATGGTTATATTGTCAACTTTTAACAACAGAATGTACAAAAATACACTTTTTTAGTGACATTTCTGAAAAACGCGGAATGTCATTTATGGTAATTAAAATACACTTTTGTGAAGGGCAGACCCCTTGTAAATATTACATATGAAGTTTTTTACTCAATAGTAAAAATATGTAAACTTTAAATCGATAATGCTTTAAAGGAAAAGCAAGCTACGCTCCTAAAGACTGCGGGCGATATAGTACTTAGCCTACGGCCGCTGCTATAAAAAGACAAGAAAAAATCGGTTGTGAGTAAATTTTGTCCATGCAAATCTGTATAACTAATAGCAAGTTGAGCATATGTACAGTATATTTAATATAAGGTGTGTACTATTTATATTGAGAAACTGCAGAGAAACCTCTCCAAGTGCACGATCAAATTAAAATATTAACACCCGACAATCGTGCCTAAAGTGGCATACTAATTCTATTGGGCAGCAAAGGGGTTCGTGAATTTAAAGGTTGATGTTTTTCACCTTGACCGACTGATTGCTGAACGTCATACAAATCGATATTAGTAGCCATCAATCGTTATACTTGAGCCTGACACACGACATTCGTTTTCAATGGTTACATGTAGAATCGTAAATATACCTTGGAAAGTCAACCAGTTATTATCAGTCCGCTCTCTCGTTGTTTCTTCTGTTCGGATTAACATGTGACGAATTAAACCAATGTGTCCTTCCGTTATTGTCTGAGGCTGAGTGCGTTTAAATTTCTGAAACACTTGGTTTCGACATGTTTTTGACTCGTCACGAGATGATGGTAAGATGATAGGTCCCTGTACATATCTGCTGACTTACTATTATTAGCAGGTACCCTAACCCGATCAAACGTTCTCTAAATATTTGGTAATTCTTGAAGCCACTCTGATCTAATAGAACGCATAATCTGCCTCGAATCGTTTGTGATTTCAAGGATTCGAGAGTCCAGCAAATCAACTAGACGTCTCGAGCTGCCAGCAAGGCATGGATATGATGCTAATCGTCGGCGTGTAACTCACGACTAATAACATACTCCTTGACAGCATTCGTACGGTTACCTCCTTCAAAGACAACTCCTTCAGAACATCCTTTTTTGCCATTGCACAACGCTGGATAAGTCAAGAACACTTTTTTCGCGGCGAATCGAAACCCTCCTTGTCGATGCGGCATACTGACTAATGTACTGTATATAATAAGAACGATATATCGAACAACAGGCGGGGGCCACTATATATAAGAAACAATATTTACCTTATCGCGTACATCACACGAGTGCCAGCGCGATATTACGATCGATCATGATTGTCGATAGCTCCTTCTTTGTAAATTAATTGAGCCTCATCATGTCTGCTGGTCGTATCCATTCACTTTCCGTAGTTCTCCGAATGATTCGAAACAGTTTACCACTCCTGCAGCTATTCCCCAAATCTATTCTTTGACACAACAACGCGTAAGATGTGGGTTAAGATATCATTATTCAGAGAATGTATAATTGTATAAACTATTCTCTAGAATTTGGGCTATAAACAAGTATGATGATTTTCTTCTCCATAAGATCATGGATTAAAGGAGGTATGTATAATCGTATGATTAAGATCGTTGCTGGGATTTTATCGTTCGTCCAACTGATTAAGCTCTCGACGCTGCCATCATATTAATATGCCGATTACCAGATCATAGTGAACGCCAGTTGAATCGTAAGTTTATTACATATTTATTCGGTTGTTTATATATCTAAATTGCGTAATATCATACTCCCATCTCCTTTTCTAGCCTGAGAGGTGAGTCGTTAACAAAAATACCCTGACCATCCATCCATGTCCCCCCCACTACACATATTGGTAAATCCCTATAACCATTTGCAGGAAATACCAATACTTAAATCTAAAGTTAATGTCGGGGGAGGAGAGGGCATTAACAAAAATACCCTGACCATCCATCCCCCCCACTACACATATTGGTAAATCCCTATAACCATTTGCAGGAAATACCAATACTTAAATCTAAAGTTAATGTCGGGGGAGGAGAGGGCATTAACAAAAATACCCGACCATCCATCCATGTCCCCCCCGCTGCACATCGGTAAGTCTCTATACCCGTTTGCTGGAAATACCAAAACATTGACTAAATGTTCGAGGTTCGGGCATTCGACTGGTAGCAATGAAAAAGACAGTTAGTTGGAAATAAAACACCGCTATTAAGGAATACCAACTTATACACATACCTTGTCGAGGCAGATAGCTTCCTGTATTTCGTTCAGCCCAGATGAGTACAAGCACCGGACGGAGCAACGAGGTCTCTATATTTCGAGAGATAAGGAATGGTCTTTTCAAAAGACGGAATGTCGGTGATATAGTGCAAAGCAAGCAGAGATAACGATGGTAAATGCATTGTATAGAAAACAGAATAGCGAAATATCCTTTACCATTAAGAGACACTCACCAGTGGTAATTCATATTCTGTTAAACCCTTTGTATTTGGGCTCGGCTCGTCAATAACTTTATGAAAGTTCTTCAAAACTTCGTTATCTTCTCTTAGTGGAGTTTCAAACTTCCATATGTTGCTGCTGGACCATATCAGTTTCTTAAGATGCCCAAAAGCACTATTATCAAAATAACGTAATGTCAGCTAGTCATACCCTTCCCAGTGTCCCCCAGTGCCAACTTCTTAATAACAACATAAGGCATTTCTTCTATCTATAGTCATACCTACCCTTTTTTCATGCGCCAAAACGGTGTGGCTATAGTAATAGAGAGAGTTGACTGTTTCATTGAAGCTAGTTTGTATGTAGTTTGACGGGGGATGAAAGAACTTTTGTCCTTAGACAAAAAATTTTTTTCTTCAATCTGTATTTAGCTAAGGCGAAATGTGGCTGAGGTGCATCATGTCGCACTAATACTAAAGTAAGCAAGACGGGCTGGGTACGGCGGGTACGGCAGGCCTAATGAAATGTAAAACTCCAACATATATCCCTAATTGATTTTAGTATCCTGTAGGGGGTATTGATCGTATTGATCAGGGTACATCTGTCCGAGAAAAAAGCGTGACGTAGTTACAAGCGATAATATTTAGGAATAGTAACAGCTACTTGAGCTACAAATCAAAAGGCCCAAAATTATCTCTTTATAGCAAAGATTACATTCATTTAATATAAACAGATCTTCGTTATAGCCAAAGTTCATTATAACCAGATTAGACTGTATTATTATTTTTCTTAAAACGTCACGCCGGTTAAAATACCATTGTCTTTACATTTGCAGTTTGATATTCTCAGTTGGGATAAACTATAAACCGTTTCAAATATACCACAAGATGTTCGTGTTTTTAGACTTGTTTAGAAGATCATAATCGAAAGATATAATTTTTGTCGGCCATAGCGATAGTCCAACCTTTTGGTTTAAAATAGCTTAATATGGATCTAACACTAAAAGGAAGCCATTGTTTTTTTGCAAGTTATTATATTAGTTTTACACTCTGTTAAATAGAAATTATAAACCAAAATTGATACTTTTAAAAAATTATACTGGCCGCCATTAATTTCACCGGGGACTGTACTAAGCGTAAATTTATTTCATGCCATAATGACAACAAACCTTGCTTTCTTTTGCTTAATTTATAATGCAACTAATGATAACCACTTGCTCTTTTCGTTAATAACCAAATTACTGTAGAAAAATTTCCCGGCAAGTCGATACGAGTGCTATTGAACATCGCACAGAGTTCCGTTTTTTTTTAATCTTGCTAGGATTGGCCGGGGTTTTTACTACCAGATAATAAATTAGACATACTGCACGTTTATTATTAATAAAAGGGATAAAGTAGCATTCATGGTGTTCAATCAAAAATGAAGGTTAAGATAGTTTGATAAGATTTATTCGTTAAGTGACAAACACGTCATTTCAAAAGGCAAAGTCTTTACTAACGAGCTATTTGACTTGGAGGGTTCTTGTCAGAATCGTGAGAGAATTTCTATTTATATTACCGTTAAAGTATTTTATTTTACAGTGACTTTTATCGAGTTTGACCGTGGATATTGCTTTCCCTTATATGGTACACATTATTATTAGTGTTTGTTATTTTTCACTAGACCAGTTCTCAGAGTTACTACTGCATGTCATCAATCTAAGTTTCTATAAGATACGTTTCTTATACAGTACCTTGGAATCTACACTTTTTGTTTGGCAGTGAACTCAACAATTAGGTAATAGTAGAAGTAATTTTTGTGCTCGCTATTTTTTCCTGGCTGTTCCGTCAAAAACAATGAGGGTCTGCAATGCAACATACACGTATAACCAGATACAATGAGTAGGTAATCGATATAAACTGCTTTTTATACGAATCGTTACTCGCTATAAAATCATAGCATCCGTCGGAAGTGTTCTAAAACAATAAACAGAGTAGTACTATATCTCAATAAATAGCAGGAAATTAGGCTTAAAAGAATATTTACGACGGGCCATTGGCTATAACTACGCAATTACATAGTCATCATTTATATAGAAGGCATTCAATGCCGAAACGTCGATCATCAATATAGAGTATTATTTAATCGAAAGATGGACTGAGGCAACAATCAACTGCATGTTTTGCCTTCATCATTGTAACTCCATATATAAAGTTCAACGTTTATGTGTACAACCCACCTTACGATTGTATTGGCTAAACTTGTATGACAGCTATCACTATGTGACAAAATAGCCTTTCGTCTCTCACAGACGATTCATCCGAATATGTCTCAAGGTCAACCATCTAACAACACATATAGGGAGTGGCTAGATAAGAGCATCCAAGAAGGGTTTATCAAACGTTATTCAGAGGATGACATCCTAGATCGTACACTTCTCGGCCATGGAGGATATGGTGTCGTATACAAAGCCAGGATGAAGCATTCCGGAATATCAGTCGCAATGAAAACTTTGTTTCTCAAACAACCTGGGTGTGAAGAAGAATTATATAAACAGTTTATCAAAGAGGTAGTCATTCGTTATCTAGTGTTATAATTGGTATTAATTAATGCATGAACTAAGTTATTTCCCAATGTGCAATAGCTGAAAACCCATAAGCTGGTAGATGATCATCCAAACATTATACGATTCTTAGGAATATGCCAAGGTATTTAAGTTATTCTAGTATTGCGCTTTATTGTATACATAATGATGAGTATTAGTTATAACATCCATATGCTTTATGTTTATAATGCATAAGATTCATCTGGTCATTACCATATGGTTTTTGACTATGCAGACGGTGGGACTTTGCGTGAACACTTGCAGAAGTGCTTTCCTGATTTGACATGGAAGGACAAATACAAATTGGGTGTGGAGATCACTGCTGGATTGATGTATTTACATAGTCTTGACATTGTTCATAAGGATTTGGTATGTATCAATTGCACAGCTTCTTTGCCTAACTGTTGTTATTATATATTTGATAAACACAAATTATAATGTTAAAACTTTTCAAATTATTAATATTGACTTTTATATTTCTGAAATTAGTCTTCAACAAATATCCTTATTCAAGGAGGTATCACAAAAATAACTGATTTTGGATTGTCTGATCCTGTCAAACAAATTATGTCTACATCAAAAGGTGAAGGAAATGTAGCATATATTGATCCATTATCTTTTAAAGACAATTCTTATAACCGTGGGAAAAAGTCGGATATTTTTAGCCTCGGTGTAATACTTTGGGAGATTTCAAGTGGAAAACTCCCATGTCAAGAGGTTACCACAACTCAGGGGGTTATTTTATACAGAAATAATGGTTCTCGTGATCCTCCCTTTCCTGGAACTCCTGAAGACTACATCAATCTATATTCAAAATGCTGGGATGAAAACCCTAATGAACGTCCATCATGTGAAGAAGTAAAAGAGTTAATGACCCAATTGATTTCCCCATTGGATCAAATTGAAAACACAGAAGTAACAGCTCCAGAAACAATTCTAGAGACAAATGAGGCTGAACATACTAATACAATAACAAGAGCAGCAACAACTTTACAAGATGCTCTGGACTTAATGTCTCCTTTAATAGACCTAAAGTACAAAAACATAGGAGATACAGAAGCAACAGCTTTGGCCAAGGCTTTGGAAACAAATTCTTGTTTGACATCTCTAAATCTTCAAAATAACCTGATAGGGAAAACAGGAGCAACAGCTTTGGCCAAGGTTTTGAAAACAAATTCTTGTAAATTGACATCTCTAAATCTAAATTCCAATAAAATTGGAGATACAGGAGCAATAGCTTTGGCAAAGGCTCTGGAATCAAATTCTCATTTGACATCTCTAGATCTCCATTATAATGGAGTAGGCAACAAAGGAGTAACAGCTTTGGCAAAAGTCCTAGGACAAGATTCTAAATCTTGTCTGACATCTCTGAATCTAGATTTGAATGGAATAAGTGATGAAGGAGCAAAAGCTCTGGCAAAGGCTTTGAAAACAAATTCCCATTTGACATCTCTGAACCTAGATTATAATAAAATAGGAAATACAGGAATAACAGCTTTGGCAGATGCTCTGAAATCAAATTCTACTTCTAATTTGACATCTCTAAGTCTAAACAACAATAGGATAGGAGATACAGGAGCAGCAGCTTTGGCAAAAACACTGGAATCAAGGGCTTGTTTAGCATCTCTAAATCTTCAACATAATCAGATAAAAGAAAAGGGAGCAATAGCTTTAGCAGAGGCTTTGGAAACAAATTCTTGTTTGATATCTCTGGATTTAGATTGTAATAGAATAATGGATACAGGAACAGCAGCATTGGCAAAGGCTCTGGAATCAAATTCCCATTTGACATCTCTAAAACTATATGACAATAAAATAGGAGATACAGGAGCAACAGCTTTGGCAAAAGCTCTAGAATTAAATTCCTCTCTGACTTCTTTGGATCTCCAGAGAAATCAAATTGGAGCTACAGGAACAGCAGCCTTGGCAAAGGCTCTGGAATCAAATTCCCATTTGACATTTCTAAAACTATATGACAATAGAATAGGAGATACAGGAGCAACAGCTTTGGCAAAAGCTTTAGAATCAAATCCTAATTCTTGCTTGACATGTCTAAATCTAGATTTGAATGGAATAAGTGATGAAGGAGCAAAAGCTTTGGCAACAGCTTTGAAAACAAATACCTGTTTGAAATCTCTGAATCTAGAAGACAATAAAATAGGATATACAGGAATAACAGCTTTGGCAGTTGCTCTAGAATCAAATTCTTGCTTGACATTATTAAATCTTCAATATAACCAGATTGGAGATGAAGGAGCAACAGCTTTAGCAAAAACACTAGAATCAAAAAATTCTCATTTGACATCTCTAGAGCTAGATTGCAATGGAATAGGAGATATGGGAGCAGCAGCTTTGGCAAAGGCTCTGGAATCAAATTCCCATTTGACATCTCTAAGTTTAGTTCGGAATAGTATAAAAGATATTGGTGCAAGAGATTTAGCAAAGGCTCTGGGATCAAACTCTTGTTTGACATCTCTGAATCTCAAATTTAATATGATTGGACATGAAGGAGCAGCAGCTCTGGCAAAGTCTCTGGAATCAAATTCTTGTTTGATATCTTTAAACCCTCAATATCCATAATAATAATAATAAGACCTTAATACTAATCTCAACCCCAATTAAATAGGAATGTAATAGTAATAGGTCATATGGAGCAGAGCAATATTTTTATGAATAAAATTCTTTCTAAACATGTTTATAAATCTAGTGATACTAGGCTGATATCTTTATAAGCAAATACAAATGTGTCTTAATATTTAGTGAAGTTTATTCTGTAACTTTAAAATCGAAAGGTGTTTTTGGTATTGATCATTGCCAAAAGATAATAAAAAGGAAATGTTTACATCGCACAAATAGATGTTATAGGCTGAGTTGAGGCAACAAACTTTAAAAATGTGGGTTATGTTAATTTGCGGTGGAGAGTCAATTTGTTACATAGTAATAGTAACAAGTCCTGTTGTAACCAGGGGTGTTTCATGCCAACAATTGTCAATTGTCAGCACTAGGAATTTAGCTATTTCGAACGGAGTGTTAGTGTGGTGCTCCTACTTTAGTTAAATAAAATACATAGTTGGTGACCTTTAACGCTAGGCTTTCCTACTCACGACCTCAGTGTTCGATGCGTAGACACTAATCCTCGATAATTAATCCGCCCTCGAGTATGCCTCACAGGTTGGGGTATGATTATAGCTATAACAAATGCGCGTTGGTATGAACAATTAATTATCATTCTGATAAAGTACCCCGGGTACTAGAACCAGTGCAATAATTATCCCTTATAATAAATTTTTAATATTTACATATATCGTATTAAGGATGTTGTATTATAGTCTCGTTTATTTATGTGTTTGCTTTTACAATAAATATATTACGTAACGCGCTGATAACTTTTAAGATTAAATGACAAATTATCCAGATCGAAATACCACATACCCACTCGACGTGCTGCTAGGTGGGTGGCAACGTCTACTGACGGCCAAGACACAGGTTGGTGAACTCTGAGTTAATATTTTAAAGTTGACTAGAGCCTTTTTATCACTCTTGTAGGTGACGATACGGGCATCAGAAGGGTTTATTTTATATCGTAAAATATTAGTTATGCACAATATACTGCCATTGATCTATTTACATTTATTGATATAGGCACCTAGAAGACACTTGTTCTATGGATTAACGTGGTAGCGTGGAAGCATCTATTATCATTATATCGGCGAGTATTCCACGGGGATATTACTTTTGCCATGCGGCGAGTTGTTTCCCAGTTTCCTTTGCCATGCGACAAATTGTCGAAGTAAGTAAAGATTATTTATTATCATATCGGCGAATATTCCACGAGCGTATTCACGCATGCCTGTGCGTACGGGAATATTATTTGTGCCCTGCGGTAAGTTGTTTCCTATGCGGCGAATTTCCTTTTGCCATGAACTAATAATTATATTTAACTCTATAATCAGGAAAATACTAATTTAAATTACAAGTTAGTTAGATATCAGCTATATAATGCAAATTCATGTTATCTTAATGTTATTTTGACATGACATGTAAATACTGATGAAATAAAAATCGTTATAAACAATTTTCGTCTTCTCTTATTGTTTGTAAACTGATCTTAATATTAATATATTTATAGCCTCGTTGGTTGAGTGATAATTATAGCGAAACATTTCTCTTACTTAGCGATTTTAGTTAGTCATGTTATGCAAGCAGAGATTAATTTTATACATTCTGATCATTCACGTAATGTATAAAAGGAATAAGAAAGAATGCCAAGGTTTTGCCGCACGTTAAAAGTCTGTTTCAAAAACTATACACAAAACATTATAAACATAGTCTGAAGACTTACGGCTGATTTTAAAGGTAGGATTATGGTTCGGCGATTTTACTACGGTAATTTAAATTACTTGAGACATCCACCTTTAAGTATTGGTACCTGAACGCGTCATCTTGTAGATAAGATTGGTTCTCTCGAAAAAAAAAAGACATGGTTTTGGTTAAGTCGAGGAGCTATATGGAGTTCGCTCTTCGCCGAGTCGCGTTCTACGGGACCAATCAATCTTTATTATAATTAATGTAGCTTGTATTGGCTACTATCGCATGTAGGGAAACCCGATAATGTTTTGATGAAATTTTCTGTACAATCCATATTTTTTATGGACTTTATTATAACGACTTAAATGCAACCCACAAAAGAGAAAGGAATATTAATATGCAAAAAAAAAAAAAAAAAAAAAAAAAAAACATGACACGTAGATTGTCACCACCTTTATAATAAAATTTACTGAATCACAATCAGCCCCAACCCCAAAGTCGTCCCCAAACACCTCCCCCAGTACTCTTATGCTCTTCCATTGGAACAGGATTTGGTAATAGTATTGAGTCATTTATCACAATAGATGACTTTCTTGGCATTCCATTCACCACATCCAGTCTCTTATATCCAAATGTAGGGTCATCTTTGGGCACTGGTGGCGGTTTGATTAACTGGGTTTCTCTTAGCTGTAAGCTACAAAACAATCAAATACATAATTGGAAGAAAAAATATGAATAAGTAATTTAGACCAAAACACGTTCATACAACAACATAAGCATGATATATGTAAGTGCAAATTTGACTGTTGCAGAAATTTCCTCATCTGTTTACCCTCCCAAGTCAGTGTCATTGATCGTAGCCGGCACGAAACTGCTCCGTACACTTTCAGTTGTTGACGTTTCATGAGTTCTTGTGGATAAATTTAATGCCATTGGAGATGTAATCTTTGTTTCAGAGTCCGTTCGAATCGCCATATTATTGAATAGTTGCGTCTCTTCACGAGAGTCTAAACAGATCAAGGTCAAATATTACAAACATATCAATCGACACACTACCAAGCCTTCAATTTCTAATGCGGCACTTACTCGTAATTCTGAAGCTGCCTATTGGAGATCCGGAAACTCCCATTGGAGTTCCAAATCTATCGGCCGCTCCAGTACTGCTACATATCGATGACCTTTCAGATATTGTTACATCCCCAAATCCTCCACCGGGAGACACGTCAATTTGTCCGTTTATCGGGTAAACTCTATGAATTTCATCAGCTACAGTTCCTCGACGAGAGTCCCCCTTTGCTGTTTCTAAAAGATCTTCTAATGTTTCTTGTGGCATTCCATCACCGGCTGCATATCGTAATTGTGATTGAGTGTACCAAGAAAATACACGTCGACGTGCTTTTTCTTGACGAGAGAGCTGAATGATTATAGAACGAAGAACGAATACGGGATATAATATTGACAGCACATGGGGAATTAAGAAAATTTGTGAAACATCCAGACAAAGAACGTGTAAAAAGAAACAACAAACTTTAAACCTACCCGAGCTGCATTGAGAATTATAGGTTCATGGTATCTCTTATTATTATCGCGTGGCCCAACTTCTTCGGCTGACCAATCGCACGTTGTAATATACCCGCAGTTAGGACAGCTATGTTGTAGCTTCGTGTTATCCGTCATTATATGATTTTGCGGTTATTATCACAAGAAGGGAGACAAGCCAGTTTCGGCAACTACTACAACATTCTTTTAAATTTATGTCACTGTCACATGACAGCGTAATCCTACAGTACTTTACAGTATATTCGGTACTGAGTCAGTCGAATAAGTCCTACCGATATCCAAGTGCACGGGACAGATTATTATTTGGAGCAGACTGCAACAAAACCAGACAAAGTGAACATTTTATTATGTGACATAATAATAAATGAGAGGCTGATTATGATGTGGCTGT